CTGGGGGGCAGAGGCTCCGCTCTGCGAGTGCCGTCTGAGGGCCCCGATCCAGGAGGGCCGGGGGGGCTCTGCAGCCGGGAGGGGCTGGCAGGGGGCCCGGGGGGGCTGATGGGAGACGGAGTGCCGGCCCCCGGGGGTCTCGGGGGGCTCCCCAAGGCGGCACAGGGTGGGCGCCACGTCCCTACGGGGCTACCGGCATGGGGAGGCCCAACCCCGGCCGGGCCGGTGGGAGTCCCCGGGGGTCGGCGGGGGCTGGGGGGAGCCGCAGCCTGGAAGGCACCGGGATCGGGGGCGGTGGGCGAAGCGGGAGTCTCCGGGCGGCGGAAGATGAAGGCGGACTCGGTCAGGCTGCGCTGGTACCGCAGGAAGGGGCGGCGGGCGCCTGGGGAGGCACGGTCAGCTCACAGCCACCGGGGACCCCCCCCCCCCCCCCCCCCCCGGCCCTCCACATACCGGGCCGTGTGCCCAGCGGGCCGGCGGGCAGCGCGGTGCCCGAGGTGCTGCCCGAGGTGGATCCCGCGCGTTCCCGCTGCCGGAAGAAGTCCCGCGGGTTCTGCGTCCGCTGAGCCACCAGCACGGCCGCCTCCTGCAGCACCGGGGGCCGTTGTGGTACGCAGACCCCCCCCGGCGCTCCCCCCACAGCGGCCCCCCGCCCCACTCACCGCCGCCTTCTCAATGGATTCGCTGCGCCGGAAGCGATCCCGCATTGCCGCCTCGTGCTCACGCTGCTGCTGCTCCTGCGGGGATGGGGACGGATGGGGGGACAGGGATGGGGATGCGGGGATGGGGACGTGGCGATGGGGACGCGGTGTGGACGCAGCACCGTGTGGCGCCTCTCCATCCCAGAATCACAGCACGGCTGGGTTGGAAGGGACCTCAGGGATCACGAAGCTCCAACCACACGCAGGGCCACCAACCTCCCCATTGCACAGCAGCCCAGGCTGCCCAGGGCCCCATCCAACCTCCAACACCTCCAGGGATGGACGGGGCATCGCAGCCCCTCTGGGCGGCTGTTCCAGCCCCTCGCCGCTCTGTGTCAAGAACTGAATCCCGCAGCCCCACGCACCCATCGCTGCTGCTCCTTCCTGCGCTCCTCCGCCTCTATCCGCGCCTGCTCCTTCCTGCGGGGATGGGAGCTCAGCGCCGCCACCGGCTGCGCCTCCAGGTGCCGGGCACGGGACTGCGGGCACCCGCGGGACTGCGGGCACCCATGGGTGCTGGGATCGGGGCCGCCCGCCTCACCGCTGTTCCTCGATGAGCTGCTCCTTCTCCCTGCAGCGCCGCTCGCGCTCCGCCGCGTCCCTGCGCTCCTCCTCCATGCGCTCCCTCTCCCATCTCCTGCGCTCCTCCAGCGCCCGGCGCCGCTCCTCCTCCTTCCGCTGCTCCTCCTCGCGCTGCACCGCAGGGACTCAGCGGGATGGGACCCCGCACCTCCCCCCCACGGCACCCACCGCCCCTCACCTCCGCCTGCGCCCAGAAGGAGTCCCGTTTGGTGCGGCGGATCTCCAACGCCGGGTTGGTCTTACGGTAGTTGGTGCCCTACGGGAGCGGCGGGGCTCAGGGCGCACCGCGGCACCCGCACGGACCCCCCGCCCGCCGCCGCCTCCCCGCCCCGCTCACCACCAACTCCTCGCCGTCTGCCGGGGGGGTCCTCCTGCTGCTCGGGGCTGCGGCGGGGGCCAGCTGTGCCAGCACGCGGCTCAGCCCCTCCTGCGTCACCTCCTCGGCGCGACGGGCGCTCAGCACGGCGGTGGCCTCCTGGCAGTGGGATGGGGCCAGCGTCGGCCCCACAGCGCCCCGAGCCACCCTTGCACCCCCCCCCCCCCCCCCGGGATCCGCTCCCAGACCGTCCCCGGGGAATCTGGGCACCGTTCCCAGCGGAGCTCAGCAGATCCAGATGTGGGGCCGGATCCAGACGTGGGATCTCACCCCAGGGCGTGCAGGGATGGGGGCACGGGCGGGGGGCAGCCCCAGCTCCAAAGGGCAGGGCAGAGCGGCCGGGGCAGGAGGGGCCGGGGCAGGACGGGGCCGGGGCAGGACGGGGCCGGGGCAGGGAGCCCAACCACAGCCACAGCGCGGCCAAGGCTGGAACTGGGAGCTGGAACTGGGAGCTGGGAACGGCAGCGCCTGAGTCAGCAGCTCCAGGAATGCACCGCACGCAGCAGCAAGCAAAGGTCGGGGCTGCGGGGCAGGAAGGGGGGGTGGGGTCCCTGATGGACCCCCCGGGCTCCAGACTCACCTTGAAGAAGGCTCTGATGGCCGGCAGGTGTCCGGCGCACGCCTGGCGCTGGGACTCGGGCACCTCCTCCCCGACCTGGCACAGGCGCGGGGCTCAGAGCTGCCGGCTCAGCGCCCCTCATCCCATCCCCGCCGCCCCCCCCGGCCCCCCGCCCGCCCCCCCCCCACGCCCGCTGTAGGACGGCACAGCGCGGACCCCCGTCGCCCCCCCCGGCTCACCCAGCTGATGAGGACGACGCGGGGGGCTCCGCTGCCGGGGTCCCGCACTCGGCACAGCCCGTACATGATGCTGCTGGCACAGAACTTCGCCGCCAGCTCGTCCACACCGCCGGCTGTGGGAGGGGGATCAGGGCGAGCCGCGCGACGCGCGACCCCCTACGGATCCCCCCGTCCCCATATAACGACCCCCCCGTACCTCCCGAGTCCAGCAGCCTGAGGTCATGGTGCTTCTCGTAGGCGAACACGGCCCTGGGGGGGGCGGGGTCGCTCAGTGCCGGGTAGGGGTCGGACCGGGGGGTGGCGGCACGTGGGGGCTCGCGGCCGCCGCCCCTCACCCCGCCCCCCGCCGGTCTCAATTCGTGGAAGTGCCGCCGTCATCCGCCCGGGGACAATGGAGCGGCGGGAAGCGCCGTGCCCGCCCCCCCGGTACCGACACCGGGCGGCCCCCCCGGCGGCGCGACTTCGCGTCCAGGCGCAGAGGGGGGACGGGCACAGGGCAGCGGCCGAGCGGCCCCGGACGGAGCGGAGGGCGGCAACGGGGGGGCGGCCCGGACGGCAGCGCTGTGCGACGAGGGGGGGAGGGGGGAGCGCGGGGCTCCCAGGCGCGGGCGGGGCGCGGTTCCACGCGGGGAGGTTTGGGGGGGCATTGCGAGCGCCGTGGGGGCACCGTGCGGAACTCGGCCCCCCCCGCAATCGCGCCCCGTTCCCGGTTCCCCGTTCCCACCCCACGCCCACGGGGTCGCCGCTCCGGCCCGGCCCGGCCCCGCCGCCCCCGGCCCACGCAGTCCGATCCACGTGCGCGGCCCCGGAACCCCCCGCGCGGCTCCGCACCCGACCCACTCGGGACCCCCCCGCGTCCCGGCGCCGTTCCCTCACCAGTTGGTGGCCGCCCGCGGGTTGCCCACGTCCTCCCGTGCCGCCAGCAGCGCCAGCCGGTGCCGCTCCAGCCCGGGGGCCCCCATGGTTCTCCCACGGCCCCGCACCGCCCCGCACCGCCCGGCAGCTCCTGCGCGGCCCCGCCCCGGTCTTAGAGGTGGGGAGGGACCGGCGGCACCGGGCGGGACCCGGCGGGGCGGGCGGCACCGGGCTCGGAGCCAAAGCCGGGCGGGGCGGAGGGGGCACCGTGGGTCCCGCGTGGCGTGGGGGGGAGGGCGGCCCCACGCGGTCCCGTGGGCGCGGCATTCGGACCCGCGATGTCAGGCGCGGCGGTTCGGGGCCCCACGCGGTACAGCGGGGCGGTGCGGGGCCCCACGCCGGGACGTGGGGAACCCACGCGGGGCCGCCCCCACCCGCGGCCGCCCGGCGCCGCTTCCCTTATTTGGTCACCGCGGCCTCAAACCCCAAAGCCCCGAGAGAGCGAAAAAATGCGCGGCGGCGGCTGCGGATGGGGGGGGGGGGGGGGGGGGGGGGGGGGCAGAGCGGGGGGCTCCGGGGCTGAGATCCCACGGGCTGCGTCCCGGCAGCGTCCCGTACCCATCGGTGGTGCTCGTCCCCATCCGCGCCCCGTGTCCCCGCTGTGCCCCACGTCCCCACCGGCGTCCCCTACCCATCAGTGTCGCGTGTCCCCGCAGTATCCCGTGTCCCATCTGCGTTCCACGTCCATCAAGCGCCCCGTGTCCCAGCAGTGCCCCACGTCCCCACCGGTGTCCCATATCCATCAGTGTTGAATGTCCCGCTCCGTGCCCCCTGTCCCCGCGTTGCCCCGTGTCCCCATTAGCGTCCCGTATCCCCACCGCCCGTGTCCCAGCAGTGCCGCAGCCTCGCTGCCACCCCTCACTGCGCGCCCCATGCAGCCCCGTGCCTCGCTGCGCCCCTGGGCCGTGGTGCGGCGCTGGCAGCCGCCACCACGTGGAGAGCCGGGCTGGGACGCGGCGCTGTACGGGCACAGCCCCGGGGGACGGACACGAGGGGCCGGGGCTGCCGGTCCCCAGCCGTTCCGCCACGATCCCTACGGCGACCCCCGCAGCCCCGGCGGCCTTTTGTGCCCCCGGTGTCACTGACGCTTCCGGGTGTCCCCGCGGTTCCGGCTGTCACTTGTGTCCCTACGGCCCCAGTTCTCCCTGCTGTGCCTGCGGCCCGGAGCCGCCGGTGTCCCCGCGACCTCCCTCCCGTCCCGCTGTCCCCCCCCGTCCTTCTGTCCGTCCCTCTGTCCGCCCCCTCCGTCCGCGCTCCGCGGGTGGGCGTGCGAAGGGGGGCGTGGCCTATCGAATAACCCCGCCCACGAGGAGGCGTGGCTCCGGCGCGGCTCGGAGCGGGGGGCGGTGGCGGTCACGTGTTCGCGGCGCCCCCTGGCGGCGCCCCTTTGTCCGCGCGCGGGCGGGGCAGCGCGGGGGCGGGGCTCGGAACGGCCGTGTGGGCGTGGCCCGAGGGGGCGGGGAGGACGCGGATTGGCGGAGGGCGAGGGGCGGGGCGGAGAGGGAGGGGCGAGGCGAGGCGAGGCCGTCGCGGATTGGCGGAGGGGCGGGGCGGGGCGGGGCAGGGCGGCAGCTAACGGGCCCGGGCGGCGGCGCGGCGGAGCGGCGCGGGGATGGGCGGGGGGCGGCGCGGGGCGCGGCGCTGAGCGCCGGCGGGACCCCATGGACCTGGACGTGGATTACGAGCGGCCCAACGTCGAGACCATCAAGTGCGTGGTGGTGGGCGACAACGCGGTGGGCAAAACGCGCCTCATCTGCGCCCGCGCCTGCAACGCGACGCTGAGCCAATACCAGCTGCTGGCCACGCACGTGCCCACCGTGTGGGCCATCGACCAGTACCGCGTCTGCCAGGAGGTGCGCGGCCGGGGGGGGCGGCGGGGTCTGGCCGGGCCACGCTCAGTGCCCCCCGCCCCCCTTGGCGCCCCCCCCCCAGGTGCTGGAGCGCTCCCGCGATGTGGTGGACGAGGTCAGCGTGTCGCTGCGGCTCTGGGACACCTTCGGGGACCACCACAAGGACCGGCGCTTCGCCTACGGCAGGTAGGGGGCGGGGCCCCGAAGGGAACCCCCGGGAGGGGCACTGGGGACTGGGGACACCCCCGTCGGGTGACACTGCCGTGGGTGAGACCCCCACCCCCCCCCAGGGAGCGACCCTCTGTGGGTGAGAGCCCCGCCAGG